TATGATCGTAGGTCTTTAACTTCCTATCAGTAAATTTTGTCTGGTATTGGGTGAACAAGGAAAATTTCTTTCATGTTAATCTGAAATTTATAATTGATTGAAACTCTGTAGTTATATTATTTTAATTATAATTTTTCTTGAAGCTGCTCTTTTCACATTCTTGAAACTTCTGAGAAAGTATAATACGCAGCATCACATTAATTATTTTGTAGACTGTTTTGTGTCACATTTATGGATGTGCAGTAACAACTGAAAATAATTAAATATTCTGTTTTGATGAAGAAAAGTTACATTTGCATTGTTGATGAATGTAACCTTCATCTTAATAAATAAATTTCTTCATCATCTTCTCCAGAAGGATATATGTTTGACTCTTGAAAGATTAATAATCTGAGATAAAAAACATACTACATGATCCAGCACTGATATTTTTCAATGATGTTGGATTTTTTCTTACTTATTATTTATTTAATGATGCTGTCAGTTGCTCATATAATTGCATATGACTGTTGATATTTATGTAGTATCATGTAATAGTAAATTTACTGGCAACATGTTATAAGTTAAGGGTAGGTTATATAAGGTTGTTGTTTTACAATGGTTTGGCTTGTCCTGGAGAATTTCTATCGTGTTCATCGGGTGGTCGTGGGGGTGTCCTGGAGAAGTGCTGGAGAATCCTGGGGAATACCAGAAAAATTCCTGGGAAAATCCCGGAGAAGTCCTAGATTAGTGTTGGAGAAGTCCTGGAGATGTAATGCGCAAATTTTTGTCATGGCGAATTGCTGGAGGAATCCTGGAGAAGTCCTGGAAGGTCATTTGGATGTCCTGAAGCAGTGGTGGGTTTGACACTATGCGGGTCGGTTATTTTGGATTCGTTTATGTTTGATTCGTATAAGTTACATTGGATTAGGTTGCATTGTATTGACTTAGGTTGGGTTGGGTTAGGTTAGGTTAGGTTTAGCTAGGTTAGCTAAGGTAATGTTAGATTTCTTAGGTTAGGTAGTGTATCATTGTTACAGCAAATTACTTTTTCTAAATTGTCTGTAAGTGAAAAATGATGTAAAAAATCATGGCCGCCCTCTTCCGGACTTACAAGTAGCTAAAAAATCGTCGATCAAGTATGGATTTTCTCCTGATGTAAATTTACTTTTCCATTTATTTATATTGTTATGTGTTGAAATACTATTCTGAGTTTTCCCCCTTCTGCAGCACTACCACTGCTCAGAATCACGAGCTGCCATTGCTTTCTGTGCTTGTAAATTTTGCACAGTTCTTAGTTGTATTGTTTGAAATGGAATCTACATTATCTTACTGAAATGATGGAGAAAGATTTTCTTAATATGACATTGAAAGTTTTTATAAAATGAGACACAAATGCACACACATGCATACGTATGCACGCGCACACACAAGAAACAGAGGTTGCAATAAACACATGTTCATTGAAGTAAACTTTAAAGCATAATATTATTAATTTATAAAGGGGGTGTTAGATTTCCTTCAGTTGATAGTTCATTCCTAAGATACTTGCCTTATTTCTACAACACTTAGTTTTCACTGCTAGTCATTCCTAGCACTGTACTGCTTAAAATATTTTAGAAAAAATTTCAATTCTGTTTAGGATGTGTTTATGTACAGTTTCTCAGGTAGAAAATATTTAATGTTTTAAATACTATTGGTGTTTGAAATTTTAGCAGCAGTAGTTTGTAATTTCAAATACCTGTTAAATGTCTGATCATGTCTCAAATTATATGAGTTTGTAGGTATGAATATAAATGTAGATTAATAACTTGGTATCTGAGAACTACAAATCTCTATGGTTTAGGATATTCACTTCAGGCCTATTATGTTACACATCTGCCTAATATATCTGACAGACATCTATAAATTATGGGGAAAATGAAAGGCTAGTTTCATTCTTCATTAATTATTGACAGTTTGCTTAGTGAGATGTTTTTATCAGAAAGTGGTACATAATTAATGACTTCAGACTAGTTTATTGTGATTATGATTTTCTCAGGGCTCCAATAACCTATTTAAGTCTTTTAATGAGTTCATGTCACTGACATTTACATGGTCTTAAAATCTTTTACAAGCTCTGGTTGCTGTTTGTAATCTTTGTATAGGTCTTTGTATCTCATTCACATATTTATAGATGGCTCACAACTACACATTTATATAGAACATCAGAAACACAGACTTAGAAATCCTGTAGTTCTGATGCTGACTCATGTATGCTGTGAAACCATTTTATTACATGGAATGTATAAGGAAAGGGCAGTTGGGCATATTACTGCTTATGTAGAAGGACATTTAAATTAGAGAGAATTGAGATAATGAGAAATGGTTCGTTGGCTTGGGCCCAAAGCATGATACATAAGGAGGAGGACCTGCTACTACAACAGTAACTCCAAATATTGCCACTTAGACAATTATTTTCCTAATATCCCTCTTCTCTACTCATTATCAGGCTCTTTAAAAGTAGAATATGGAAACAGATAAAAGTGCAAGTTGGAATTGATGATGAATGCATCCCCCCAACCTACCCAGGTAGAACACAAACGTATTACATTTTTGTTTGCGTTGTTTCTGTTTGTTGTTTGCGTTGTTGTCCTTGCTGTTACAGATGTGGGGATGATGATGATGCAGACAGGCATGATGAAGGGTGGCTTCAGTAATACTACTGCAACCTCCTACCAGAGCTATCTGGAGGGTAGGCCTTGCCCGCGTTACGTTATGTTACAGTTAGGGTTGCTCGAACCATCTCTCTGTCTGACAGTTGGTTGACAGTTTGAACTCTCTCACTCACTCACTCACATTTACTCTCTGTTTCTTCTTTTCTCTTCTCTTCCCATTTTCCTTTGCCTGTATTTTCTCTCTTCTGTCCCTGGACTGAGCACATTCTGAGCACATCCTGTGTTAGTAGACTCAAACATGACTGCTAGCTAAAGGCTTATAGTCATGGTGGAGGTTCAAAACTAAAATTGGATCTCTTTGGAATGTGGGTGGGATAACATGGAAGTTGTGAAAGTATGCTTTTTTTTGCAGTCAAGAATTTTAAAAATTGAAATTCCTATCTTCATTATCAGTTACATTGTTGTGTCCTGTGTTTGGGAATTTGTCTATAGTGAAATTTGCCTTGCTATGCCAGGCTTTAGCCTGTGATCGTAACTGTTCTGTACTGGTTTAAATTTATATAATCATAGTATCAGGAAAGAAACAGTAGTGAGTATGTAAACAATGCAACTGTGTAAGAGAAAGTTGCAATTCATCATAAATGATTTATCTGAAAAAAGTCTGAAAGTGTATTCATTCATTCATTCACTTTTAGTAGGTGGCAAGAATATTTTTTTGTGAAGTTGTATGTACTGGATGCAGCATATGCTTACAGCTGTCTTGACCAGTTACAATTAAGTGGGAGCTCTATGTATAAGTATTTCAAGTAGTACATTTATGAGAAGCATCTACTGTATCTTTAATATATGCTTATTTCTACCTTAGAAGAAATAACTCAACCACAAAATTGCTAAGAAGTCCCAGTTTTAAATTGCTATCATGTTAAATGTAACAAATAAGGACTGAAGTGGGGAAATTATTGAAATCTGCCTTCCCCTCTTTAAGTTTTCAATTTATATAATTTTTATAGAACATTACAGTTAATTTTAGAATTTGTAAATATTTTTCACAAGTTCTATGTTATCTTAGTTCAGTGTATGCCTCTGTCTCTTGTTTATGCTTCTGTTTCTATCTGTCCTCTTGTCTTGCTAGTATACTGCCCCCCTTGCAGGAGAATGCTGAGTGCTTGGCTTCGGTTTGTTGCAGGAATCTTGTGTAATGTGAGGGAGAATGTGTCCGTCTATTCAGTCGGATGCATGAATTAGTGATGACACCAGCTTGATTTTTGTTACATAGTACAATGGCATTTTGTTGCATATGTAAATCAAGTAGCATTTTGAATCTACTAACTCTGTGGTGAAGGGGGATCAACTTCGGAAGCATTTTTTATACTGAGGGGGTTGTAAGAAGTGAACAACTGACTGTCAAAAGTAAGTCAGTATCTGTACATGAATACTTCCTCACACATTTAAAAAATCCTTGAAGTGGCAATGAAAGAATGTCAGGAGTTGATGATGTTCCAAATTGGAAAAGCAATTTAAAGGGTGGTGGTAAGCAGTGAATATAATAAATAAGATTTGCTATTCTCACAGACCCAAGAATTTAGTTTGCTGTCTTCTGGGTTGTGACACCATATAAGTCTCATAACCTAGAAGATTACAGTAAATCCAAATTGACATAACTTACTTTGTTAATAAAGTATACTATTAGATCACAAAGCTGAGACAGGTATTTTGGTGTAGTCTTCATATATTGATATCTAATTTAATTTAATGCTGATTGGTTAATTTATAGATTATTAATAGTGCTTATCTTACATGGCATCAAATGCAGGATAGTTGTAAATGATGAATTGTGAAGGATGTGGAAGGAAGCAGTCATAAGCTGTTTTAAAGTTTTATTCGTAATTTCCTCAGTCTAAGTAGCTAGTCTCCAGACCAAGATACAGCATAAGATCTTGCAGATAAAAAGCAGGAGTGCTGTACCACTTGTCTGTAGTATGTGGTTGGTTCAGTGTTACAGCCACTAGATTGGCTATAAAGTTTAACGAGAATGTGTTGATCCCTAATTCAGTAAATCACTTTGGTATTTTTGTATTTACATTGTAGTGTGATGTACTTGTAATTTAACATACTGTTGAAGAAAGCTGTGCAGTTATTCTTACATATCAAGCGTTTTCTTGATTGATGATAACAAACTTGAAAAATCTTTTTCTAAAGAGTATTTCAGAAGTATGTGTTGGTTAAGTTAGTTTTGTTTCATGTGAAACAAACTGTATCCAACGTTCAATACAGAAAATGATTTTGCACAATGAAAAGTAATACACTTTGTTATAAAATCTGACCCAATAACATAAGCCATGTGCGTGGTTTTATAGAGTATGTTGTTAACAATACAGTGTATTTACTTTTCTTTGTCAAATAAACTTCATGCATGCTTGTTAGGATCTGATACTGATCACCTGAAATATTGTGTAATTATTAAAACACCTAATGTTTTAGTATTCGGTTATTTTTTTCTAACACGAGTTTTGTTGTGGAATAAAGTGGGATGTAGTTTTGCTCATTTTTGCATAATTCTTTACCAGTTCTGCTATACTATATAGAATATTTCAAACTTTACATTATCTCTTTGTCATTCAAAATATAACATTGAGGTTACTTAAATTACTTTTGTTTATATTATTTTATTCTTCAGTGGAATGTGTTCATATAAAGACACATTGATATGAAAGTTCTGTTAAGAGAAATGACTTGTAGGAAAGCTGCACACTACTGTTCCAGTTGCTAATCTCCCACCAGTAACGTTCGTCGGCCTTTCTGTCCAGTTTATAGAAACTGATGTGGACACACATTCTCCCTCACCCCACTTGAGCAAGTGAGCAGTATGGAGCAGGTTGTTTCGTACTAGGTTGCTTGTGTCGGTCGCCCACTATTGTTGCTGTTGCTGCTGGTTGCTGGTGCTGCTGATACTGCTACCATTATTGCTGATGTTGTTGTTGTTATTGTCACACTATTACATTTTATAATACAGTATAATAGAATGTTGCTCTCTTTTAGGTGAGGTTGGTAGCCTGTTGCCTTCATACATACTTTGCATTGTAGCTGGCTGCGGAATCACGAATGACATCTGGGAATGTTTGTTTTCAAAATCTACCATCTCCATTTCTTAACTCATAAATACAAAATCTTATCTCGTCTTTTCAAAATAAATAATGCACTTTTGTCACAGAACTTCCTTGTGGGTGTTCCATGTCTCCAGTCCAGGAAATAAATTACTTTGAGGTTCATTCACTTCAAGCTTTCATTGTGTAAAAACAAAATCAAGCATTGTATAATTTTTTTCTATATGTTAACCACAAACACATTTATTTAGTGAAATTCGCTAACAATATTAAATTCTTCCAAATTTTAACAGATGTCACTTGCAATGTGAGTAAAAATGAGTGTCACATTTTCCAAATGGATTATATGTGACTTTCCATATATTTCATTCACCTTGTTGTTTATATGCAGCTGATGCATATTTGTCATTGAAAACTATCACACAGCACGTGGAGTTAGAAATTATTTTTGCTTGTATTTAATTATCATAACTAAAAATGTTCCAAATAAAATTTGTAGATTATAATCAGTTCAGCATTTTATACTCGGTATTTTTTTTCCTTCATAGGAAATGGGTAAAATCTGGTTTGATTTTAAATATGAAGCAGAATTTTACTCACTAGATAAGTTATAATTTAGGCATCCAAACCCAGATTTTGTTCAGATCTGTTCAGTAGTTAAGGTGATGTAATATATTGCTTTAATTTGGATTCTGTTAATCACAGAATCTATTTAAAAGAATTTCAGTGTTTGCTATTGGTCAATTAATTTCTATATATTCTTGTCAATGTCAGATATCAAGTGGTTCTAAGTGTTGATTATCAGAGTTGGTAGCTTATGGAAACAAATTTCTCCTGGTAGTACCGCAGCTTGAGATTCACTCTTGGTCTCCTTTATCACTTTGCATCCAAACGAGGCATCACTCTGTTTCTGTAAGAAACAGTTTTTGCCCCTGAATTCCCTTTAACCCAACAGCAGACTGCTGCAGCTGCTTTCACCCTCTTATCCTGCAATGCTTAGTTGAAAGGCCTCCCAAATTGTGCCTGTTTGCATGTGTTGTTATTTGATATAAGTTTATTCTGATGTGAAGTTTTTGACAGGTGAATCAAAATATACTTTTCAAAAAGGGGAAAACCGGTAAGTTGAACTTCTTCAAATTATGGTAAGAAACTGAAGAGCATGTGCACAAACTACAAAATAAACATATTTTTATGTGGTTTTGAGTCATTAGTTCATTGATAGCTCTCATTTCTTTCCTACCATAATTTGATAACAGTAAGTATGCAGATTTAAACAACAGAAATGCAAATATGAAGTACACTCTCTGCCCCTCTTCTGCAATGTTTCCACATTGATTTTCATAGCAATAATAGGAGCTACAAAAATATTAATTTGTTACCTAGATTGGAATTGGAACAAGAATCCTGATTAGACTAATGCATGCCTAAATAATGAAGATAAAGCAGAACTGTATCTGCTTATAAAAGCAAGTGCTGTCTGTGACAGTCAACAGAAAAAAGAGACAGTTTGTTTACATTGATGTTTCTCATTGAACAGACTGGTGTCCCTTCATTGACCTCTCATCTCATTGCTGAATTTTGTAGTGACTGCATTTGTGGCACAGCTTATGGTTGCACATCAGTTGCATAACACTGTGTTAAGAGTGACAGACAGACATCTAATATGGTACTGATAAATATGAAAATCTAAAATTCAGATAATGATTGTTGTAAATTAACTAGTAATTTGAAGATGTTTTGGATTTTGGTGCCATGTTGACTCATCAGCAGATGCCATTCTTTTGTAGAAACATACTCTCTTCATCTTCTGAAGATATTTCTCTGAATGTTTGGTATTTCAGGTGATGGAGACAGTATGTTTCTCCAAAATGCTGGCATCTACCTACAAGCCTGCTTAGCACCAAAACCCATATTGTCATTGTTGTCATCATCATCCTCACCATGATCACCTCAAATTTCACAACTAGTAATTTATTATTAATAGCTACTGTTTTGAAATTTTAGAAGTTAGGCTCGGCAGAGTTTGGGTAGGCCTTGCAGTAGATTCTTTGTACCCTGCCCCTCCCTCATGTCACTTGGCATCGCACCTCCTCCTGTCTGATGTTTTGTTTCCACTGCAGCTGCTGTATTCATATGCATCCCCTTGCCTTTCTTCAATCCCTCAAAGTTAGGTTACAATTTTTATTATCAATTTCTTGTGAATAATTTTACTGACTTTATTTACTATGATTTACTATATTGAGTGAAATTTTATCTTCATATATCATAGCAGGGTCATCAGGTATACTCTCTGCATCATGAGCAGTTACATAGTATTTCTGCCCATCTGTTCCTACTACCACCCTGTAACAGGAATGGATCTCCAGCATTCTTCAAACCCTTTAGTGGATATGAGTATTATGCTCGGGTATGATAACCTTCCAGACTTACCCAGCCCACCTCAGACGTGTGTAATGCCTTTGGTACATGCCCTAACACCTGAACTAACACAAAACTTGTCTCTCTCTGACACGCTGGGGCTGAAACACACAGTGGCTACGTTCCGGAAGGGAGTTCGTGTCGTGCAGATGGTGGGCAGAGCAAGTATGTACTTAGCCTGCTTGCTCAGGACATAAACATGCATATAGACACAAGCATACACACACACACACACACACACACACATACATTCTTACATTTGTTTATATACATTTAATAAAGTCTCATATTCCTTAGAACCTAGAAGGATGTATGAAGGTTGGAAGATAGATGGTGTGGGCATTTGCAAATTTACCAATTGAACATAAATATACTGCACTGATATGAGTTATTTAAGTATATTAGTAAGTTCTGTTAAGTTGTAATGTGGGTTGTCACATGTGGTAAGTTTACAGTTTAGTGTCTTGCTGAATTTATGTTAAACTTGTGTGTTTGTTAGTGACTAGTGGAAATGATTTTGGGGTAGGATTGCTTTTAAATTATTCTTACTTGAATTTTGGTAAATTACAATGAGCCCATCACATGTATTTCTGCACAACCTCATTACATATTCATGGTTAGGTTTGAACTTTGTTGGGTTTTAGTTCATTAACACAAGTACATGAGGAGAAGAGTGTATGAGTTCAGATCTTAAACCCATCTGGCTGTAAATATCAAAATACTTTTCCTTTGTTCACTAAACTAGAAAGGTTTCCAAATAATTTTGTTTTATTTTTTATAAATGACCAATATAGAATAAAGCTTCACTGTGAAGAATTCTTAGTACCTAATGTGGTTCTATAACTGCAACTGTTCATTATCATTGCTTTTGATAAAACCTCCTATTTTCATGTTTCAGAGGTACCAAATTAATTTTCTTGCTGAGACCAACTATGTGAAACCTCTCCTGACCTTATTTAGACTGTAATCCCACATTTTACTCTGTTATTTCAGAAAAATATTTAATTTTATATTATGTCATATGAAGCCAATATATCAAAATTACTCAGTACTCAATTATTATATGATCAGCTGGAGCATAAGGAATTTAGTCAACAGTCTAATTGTATGTAACTTTGAGACAGAAAAATGGCACAAATGCTTATGAGTAATAAAGAACAGTAACAACAGTTTACATAGGAGTGTAATTCCTTTCCATGTGATCAGGTTATCATTTAAATGCTCATTCAGAAATTATTATTCTTTAATGTTGGGATGAACCTTCTCCAGTGTACATGTGGGTAATGAACAGTGTCCAGTAGTTCATACCTCAGAAGCAACATTGCTTACTGCAACTGTACTTCAGACAGATGGGATTTTAACACAATATATGACTGCTATTACAGAAAATAATCACTTCAGTTTGTGTACAGGTTTGATATGCTTTATAACAAAATTCTACCTTTCTGTTGCTATTTGATTGTGGTTAAAATTAATACATGAGTAGGCCATATTCTTTGTTAAACCAAAAACTTCCCCTTACATAGGGATATATGTGTCCCTACAGAGGGCATGAAGGGAGATTAAAATACATCCAGTAAGCCCATTAGAATTTTCTCTGTTTGGAATTGTAAATATTAAAATTATTTTTCATATTTTGCTATAAATCATTTAAAACTTATTGTTGATAGTTATTATTTATTGCCTGATCCATTATTTAATACAGTTTTATTTGGTTAAGACGGAACAGGATGTGGCATTACTATTCAATAACTTTCCTAAATCATAGTGGTTTGGTATATTTGATTAAGATCCATTTTCCTCAATATAAATCTTCAGTTGCAAACGTTTGTCATGCTACAAAGGTGTCATGTTAATTTATATGAGAATCTTCTCACTTATTTGAAGTTAACAAATATGAAACTGATTCTGTTATACCACATTTCTAACTGCAGTCAAGGTCTTTAAGGTGTAGTAGTGTAAATGGTAATGTACACAAACAGAATTGTGGATGAATGTCTTATACACACACAAGCATACACACACATACATACATTATGCTCTGTGGGTAGCCCAGCAATTAGACACTAACACTTGATAAATGACAAGGCTAGCTTACATAATTTAACACAGTGTGTGAGTGTTGTAGTATTTTCATTGTTCTGTGTCCCCTTACCCCAGCAGTGATTGTTGTGATATGTGTCAGTAACACTGTTGACTGTGTCAGTTGTCGCCACTCTCACTACTTATTACTATTATTAATACAGTGGTGCATGAGGCATCGACCATCATTGGCCCCTCCTTGTATAGCTATTTTGACTACTAAATGGTGATGCTGGTTGTCATTAGTTAACCTGCCAGAATTGTTACTTATTTTCACCATTGGGAATTGTTTCTCAGATAAATGTTATGAATATTTAGGTGTTTTGATGATAATGATGTTAATAATTAACAAGCTATGTCACAGTGGCTGCGCTGTCTGGGGCGTGGGCCTTGATTGTTCAGACACTAGGAACGTGGGTTCAAATCTCACTCAGAGTATGGATGTTTGTCTGTGTCTTGCTGTCCTGTCTAGTTGTTGGCTAATGACAGGCTGGTTACTCATCCAAGGAGTTCTACCAAATGTCTAAATAGGTTAAAAAACCTCCCATATATGAGGAGGCCAAGGTCCTACAAGGACTGTAGAGCCATTAAAAATCTCTATAAAATTATTTTGTGGTCATAATTAATGTATTCCTAGGCTGGTAATTTTTCACATGATTAAAAAATGTTTGGACATACCAAATCAAGAATATATGTAGCAAATTTGGCAGTGACATCTGTGTATTGGAGTCTCATAATGTTAGTGGGAAAGTATATAGGTACAATGTGTTTTGTGGATTCTCTTATGATTTAATACAATAACTCCAAGAGTTGTCTTCTGTTAATAATTTGGAAAGTTCTTTAAAACTGAATTGGCTGTGTTTCTTGGAGCTAGGATGTAGTGTTGACAACTTGTCAATAGAAACTCTGCTTAGAAACTGTTTTATACTGCTGCTGTCTTGTTATTAAGAGGGAATTATTTTTTTCTCTTCTTTAGTTTATTAAGAAATCAGTTATCTTTTCCTCATTATTTTTCTCTCTTTTCTCCTCACTATCTCTCCTGTTCTCCCATTGGCTGATAGCTGACGAGGACTACCTGTACACAAGTAAGTTAGGCCAATCAGCCAACTTGCTTGCTCACTGAGGATTTGAATTTCACTATTTCTCTGCGTGCACACAACTTTTCCCAGTCTTGTGCTGATCTTATTTTACTTTCTTTACTTCCTTATGTCTGTCTCTAACTTATTCTATCCATCTCTTTCATGAGGACATGCATTCTCATATCTATCTCTGTTCTATGTTACATATGGACCTTATATTTCGTTGAGAGCCACATGATATAAAATTGCAAAATGACACTTGTTCAAAAGAAATTAAACTTTATTTCTTAGATTATTCACTTACATACGCTAGTGATAAACTCAATATTCAGTATCATCGTACCTATTCTAAAAGTCTCACCTTATTTGAACTAGCCTGTTCTGAAACTGTATATGATTAAGAGTCTACAGTGTAACTCACTTTTCTTTACAGTCCAGTTTAATATTATTCTACCATCTTTCCCTCTCTCCAAAGTCTTGCTTTTCCTTTTGGTTTTCTGGCTTACTTTTTTACATTAATTCTCACAATAAATTAGAAATTAGTATGCTAAAGTAAAATGGTGACAATGCGTATACATTTTCAAATGGAAATATTTAATAAATAAATAAATAAATTTATATTCAGTTATATCTGTGGTCGATAAATGGGACTTGAGAAATGATTAGAAATGTTACTTGAAACTTTTGAAACATGATTGTAGTATCCAAATTAAAATTGTTTAGTACAAAAGTATAAAGCCTATTTGTACTGAAGTAATTCTGAGAAGCAAAGCCCTTCTTCAGAAGCTAACAGTCACTCAGCTGGACAGGAAATTCTCCACCTTTTATTGGACATATATTAAAATATAATCTAACTCAATAAATCAATGCTGTGTGTTATAGGTGTCATTACAGTTTCAGAAACATGTTATATCAGTGGTTCTTGTCCATATTAGGTCACATTGCAACATGACAGTATCTGTTACTACTCTCTTGTACCTTTTTCTAAAAGTATTTTTCTAATTTATCCTCACCTTCTTTAATCCTTTAATTCTATTGATTTAAATTAGATTTTTATTTATTCTTCAGTTGTTTTTATTAATGTCTTGGTACCACCATTGAATGGGACATGTGATCTACTACTAACCCAATTCTTCTTCTTCTTCCTTTGCCTTTAATTGCAGAGCTGAGTAGTGTTTGTGGCATGCTCGTAACCTCTCTATTTCCTGTATGCTCTAGATTGTACCGTCTTCATTCTGGACAAAGTTAGAGCCCTGTTGCCTACTTGAATTCTATCAATGCTATGTGAACTTTAGTAATGACAGCATTATTCAATAAAACATTGGTATCTACCTGCATGTCCACACGATGTTATAACCCATATGACTGACACAGACATCTTCACTGCTGTGAGAACCTCAGAACTCTGTTATAATTGATTTCATACTATACATTGCACTTCAAACAATCTCTCATGCCTTTTACAATTACCATGTAATGCATTCCACATGACATATATAATAGAACAATGAACTACAAGTTTAATTTGTTTTTGATTCTGTGCATAGTTCTGTTGAACTAATTGATAGCTATTAGCATGTTTTACGCTCAACTGAATTAATTTTGTTTTTTGAACTGCTTTTACATTATTGCTAGAACAACAATGTATGCACTGTTAGGAGTATCAGTGTACCTCTTAGTGAAATTGTGAGATATTCGGGAATTGAGATTGAGGTTCTGTTGTTAAATGCAAGTAGAATTCTAGGAGGCATATTGGGTTTTTAATATTGTCCAGGAGAGGGACATGATAAAATACACTTGTCAGAGCATGCTTCTGGAAAATGCTTAGAAATTGTAGCAGTCTACAGATTGTTCAGAATTGGTAATACTGACTGTATTATATTTTATTATGTTGAAAGAAGTATTTTGTGATAGGCTTATCTGAAGACAGACAGTGATGCAACTGTGACAAGTGTTTGCAGCTTGAGGCATGATTACACATGTGTGTTGTAGAGTGTGACTAGTTGTCTTTTGCAGGCCCTCTTATGTACCACATTGTGTCTTGTTCGTAATTCAGAGTTGTGTTGCAGAAGATGGTGGTAATTGTTATTTGATCTAAATTGCATATACCTGCACCTGGTTGGAATCATCGTTAATATGTATGTAATTGTAACTAGTTAGATGTAGTATAGTCTATTAACCTAGCATATCCTGCAGAACTGTATTAGCTTGCTTGTGGGATTTCTCATATGATTGGTATATTCCTAAGTCCTGCAAATGTCTCAGAAAGCATGCATGCTTCATAACAAAGAACATTTTGCAGAAATTGGAAATGTGGTTGACACCAAAGATGTGAGAATTCTTCAACTAGTCATGAATATTTCTGTAGGATGTGGTTGTATATATTAATAAGATGGACCTTTTTTTTTAGGTTGTTTTGGAGCTTGTGGTTGGTAAGGAGTTGCAAATCTGACATTACTAATTTTCAGTAGATTTCTGATTTATTATTCAAGTTACATGTTACCTCACATTCATCCACACAAAGCTTAACATTCTGTAACATGTCCACTGATTTTAATTGCAATGTGAAAATAATAATTTTGTGTGGAAGTATAGGTTTTCTATTTTGTGTCGTTGAATGTGAAAATGTAACTGTTATAATTTCTCACTCATGAAGGAAAGACACATTTAATGAAAGATGATGTATATGGTAGGTTTTGCATGAGATACTTTTTACACAAGGAATTCTTCACTTAGCTGTCAGCATCATGTGCCTGTGATGGTTTCCATAAAACAATTGTGAATCTAAGATTGAATGTGTGTCCTTTTCTAATTACATGATTTGCTGAATTTCTCATCCTGTTTTATTTTATCCTCTTTTATTTAAAGACAGTATATGATGTATTTCTTTTGCATTAAAGCTGTAGGATTGGGCAGTTTCATGTAACATAAGATTGATCTTTCTATATATATTAGTTTTAGAGATGGCATTAAATGCTTTTGATTATAATTGTTAATTAAATATATGTTTTTGCTTTTACTAGATTATTGTGATAAAAGCTTTTAATTTAATTATATCCTTCAAGAGTTCCTGTAAAATTATTTTTTCTGTTCTTTTGTCTATCACTCTTCTTAGAACTGTTGAAGTTTCTGTCATTTTATATCAAACGTCTGTCACAGAACTGAGGCCTTCAGCTAAGTGTTGGATTGTCCTTAAAAATAAATGAATGGCAACTATCTAGATGAAATAAGGGAACTTTTAATTTGTGTAAAGTTCAATTTTATAACATGGGAGTTGCCTCCATGCTTTGTGTGTTACATGAAAGAGTCTGGTTGACGTGTTTTGAGGGTGGTTTTGTTCTTACAGATGACCACCACCCTCCCCCTACGTTTACGCCACCAGAACTACCCAAGAAGGTGCACTTACGAGGTATTTCCTAAATGACAGAGACTTAAAGGGAAAAATAAAAAGCAATTTTGAAAGCAATGAAGAAAGTTTTAAGCCTGATTTAATATCAGATACAAATTTATTTATTTGTTTGTTTCTGCAATCTCTCAAACACACTGAACACACATGTGTGGACCAGACCAACAGAGCAGTTCAGACTGATGGGCTGTGAGGTTGTCTTTGTCTGTCTGTATAGCTATTTTTCTGTATATCTGACTTTCTGATTCTTGGCTGCCCTGAACAGGTTTATTTTTACCTTGGTACTGATATGTGTCTTTCAGGTTAATAGATGAATATATATAGAAATCTACATTTTTCCTCTAGATCATTATTATGGTGTATTTCAATACATAAAATCTGTTTTTCCTGATAATATTGCTAACCCCTTGCTGTTAGAACATCAGGAAACTATCTTTGTCAGTTACTTGCTATATTTACATTATTTATCAAAACCCCTTTAGAGAAATACATAATATTTAAATAATGTGTAAACAAGGGAACTTATTCAACATGTGTTTATTTAATAGTTTATTGATGTTGGTTATACTTTGTTATTTGTATATTTATCACAATCAAATTTAACAAAAACAGGCATTATATGAGCATGGCAGAACACTCATATGAACATTATCTATTTCAGCAAAAGTAAATAGTATTTTTATTTCGAGAATTAAAGTTTTGCACACATTCTAGGCCTATAATTTAATATCATGTGTGCCTTTAAAATAATTTTTAAATGACTTCTCTGAAATGGCTACTGAAAAAGTTACTTTTATGTGATTACAATATTATCAATGAAACATAGTGATAAAGCAGATTTAAAATGAAAAAAATATGTTAAAAACGTTATTTATATATGTATTGACAAATCAGATACATTAGAGAAGGAAGTCTGAATTTCATACTTGTTCCCATCTTGATTATTTGGGTATTTGTTCAATAAGTAGTGCTTTCTGGCCCATATTTTTAATTTCTCCGTTACGTCCATGTTCCACATAATCTTGCACAGGAGATAATTTTGTTCTCAAGCACAAACATATCTTATTATTATCTTAATATAAAATACATTTTAATTCCTCTGTATTGTAAGCCTGGAATTTGAACCTGAAACACAAGCCAACAAATTTTGACATGAAATGTAAATATGGCCATTCTTCATCATAATATAAGATTTATTTTGAAAAATAAAAAATGCTGTCAGCAGTGGGCCTGATGAACTCCTGGTGTCTATAACTCTCATAACACTGAAGGAAATATTGAGGATGTCAGCCGGCAGTAGCATACAATATGTTATTTAGAGTATTTAATGCCTAATGATATTTTTCCTATAAGTTCATTCTGATAGTGTGATGTTCTATAAGATAAACAGGTTCAGATTTCTTAAGTAGACAACAAAAATTGTAAGAAAATATGGCTTGCATGGGAAAAATTTAAATATTAAACAATATATTTAAATGTAATGCTGGATAAGAGGCAAAATACAGTGTGGGTAGAAGGAATAAAAAAAAAGAGTTAAATTCATATATATTTCCTGAAATATAGCCCCTGATGAGGGTGAAGCTAATGGAAGGTATGATTTAAGCAAGGATTTAGAGACATGTCATGGTGTTTGAAGAAATGCCAGTTCCTCTGTTCCCGTGTATATGTCAGATACTCTTGATGTGATAAATACTCGAATTTTAATCTTCTCCTGTTTTTGTGAGATACATATTATTTTTAATATAAAACATGCATACAAACGGTATGCAAGGTTTTAAGATTATTGTTTTTAAGTTATCAGTTTCTGAGACAGACCATAATTGTCATATTTTACTGTAACAATTTTTCAACTTCCACTTTTAATTAAGGAAAATGTATGACAAAATTAAAATTTCTACTTGTTGAATATGTTAGGGGATGTGGGAGGAGTGTTGGAAGCCCTGGTCTACAGTCTGGGCTCCTCTGTTTGTGCTGTACTGAACTTCCTCTGAATGCTGCTAATGCTGCTGCTTCTTGATACCCCTTGTTTTATACCCTCTCTTCGTCTTTCCTCCACAGCTTGCTAGCTGCTATCATAACTTTCACACCAAACACTGCATAGGGACAATTCCCACACATAAAACTTTCTAATGTGCATGTCATTGTTGATCTTCTGAGTAATAATGCTGAGTGGACTAATAAGGAAATGCCTACATGTCAGAGGAAGATACTTTTGAAGAGCATTATTTTCAATTTTGCTTATCTGTTTGGAATTGAAATTCATTCATTACAGTTATAGAACATTTTTGTTGCAACACACACAAAATTAACTCACTGGTTCCAAGGTAAAGCAGTACAAATCCAAAAATTACAACCAAAGTTTGATTGATTCTCTACAGTATGTGTTTTCAGTTTTTAAAACAGATTAGTAAACCTGATTTGTAAAGATCTGGAAATTGTTTATTTTTTAAACTTTTAGGAATTGTAGTATATAGCCCTTTACTCTAACACTGGTAAATTATGTTTGTATTTTATTAAATATTTATCAAATCAAAATAATATTAATATTTTGTTAAAAAAAATTATTTCCTCAGTGAGCATGATAAAGTTTTACTATATGGAGACTGTTCCTTCAACTGAATGAAAAGTGATTTCCTTAGAGAGGTGTATAAAACCAATTGTTTTGTAAACAAATGGATTTAGACCTCTGATTGAAACCTCTTTTGTGAAGATGAAAGCCACATTGTTTCCTCTGGTAGGCTGCTTCTTAATATTCAAGCCTTGTTTTGTCTTCATTGTCCAGCACAGCTTTAAAATTCTTTTCCAGTTCACACTCTTCCACACACTTCAAAAATAAACAGAATTTTATGAATCTCGTATTATCATCATCATTGCTTGGTACGAAGTTAATGCTGTTTTACCTGAATATTGTTTGTTACTTATTCCCTTTATTAGCTAGTTTTGCAGTTTGTTGGTAGCTTTGGTTCATGTTAGAGAATTGTTACAAAACTAATATTGTTTGTATGTATAGATTGAAGCAATTTATTTCTTTATATATAGTGTTATGTTCTGTTTGATCTGTTACTTATGTTTGTTGTATTGATTGAATGGTATGGTATGTGGGTGTGCATGTAGGACTTGTGTTTTGTTGTAAATTGGACCAAAATTGCTACAAACATCTGTTGCATATCAGATAACATTATTCAGGTAAGAAGGTTGAGATTTTAAAAACAAATTTATTAATCTGGGATAGTTCTTAAGCTGGAGAAGAATGCTATAATATATATTCTTGTACCAAAGAAACTGTTTTTCATATCTTGATGGTTAGTGGATTTTTACCTATGGATTTTGGGATACCGTATTAAAGAAGAAGTTTTATATGACATTTATATGTACAAAATGTTCTTTACCAAATACTGACATACCATATGCACATGATGGCTTAGCCTGACTGACATTTGTTAGTCAGCCAAGTCTGTCTGTCTGTCTGTGAGGTTGAAGCCTCTGTCTTTGTTTAATTATGACCTCTTAACTACAACTGGAAAGTAACATTTCTTATTCACGTTTCAACCAATTCCTTAGAAAGCTGGTGTTGGAAAACAAATTTTTAAAAGTTTGAGCTAAGTAATAATATTTGTGTATGCAATTTCCATTTTCATTTTTGTGCACGAAATGAATGCATATAGGGGAGGTCATGTCTGTCCATCTGTTCACACATTTAATTTTCAGAACTACTCAATGGATTTTGATAATTATGGTGTGAAGATGACTGTTTTCTGTTTACATCATGTAGTTTGGTGGGAGTTTACCAGTGTTTCAGAGCCCAATGATGGAGGCAGCAATTACACCTGAAACGTTGGTGAACTTCTACCAGACTACATGACACAACAACCCAGAAGACAGCTAACTTTATACTTGCTGCTGTGACAAACTCAAATCCTACATGTTGGCCTTGTGTTCTACACTAAAATGTGTGGAACAAATTTGATTTATGATTTTTTTTTTGAATTGCAATTACAGCATTACATAAGTATATGAGATATGTATAGATGTTTGTAGCAGCTACCTGTACTAGCAGAAATAAGTTCAAATGGCTTTCACAGCCTTGGGTTGTAGGGGAGCATATCCTGAGAGTGGTGGTGGTAACTGCTGCCCACAGATGGTAAGTCATGCTGTGGAGAGATAAATGTTTGTTAAGAATATTATATTATCTTTAAATTTAAGGTCTGAGTTATTTAAATCAGCATTTTCAATCAAGGTATCTTGTGGGATATTGCACCTTATAGTCTTGTAGAAATTAACAGATGTTTCAGAGGCTATCATTGCCCTGATGATGGAGGCAGTAAGCTCCTCTGAAATGTCAGTCATTGTGTATAAGACTACATGCTGCAGTATTCCAGAAGTCACTCACCTTCATACTCATTGCTATGAGAATTTGAAAAGTAACATTTTTAATATTTTTGCTTGTGTATGAGAGAGATCCCCAACCTAAGTTTACATAGCCACTTTGAAATAAAGAGTTCATTGTTAGGTTAGGTTTGATCTTCTTTACTTCTTCTTCTTCTTATACTGGATAAAATAGTCTGTGATTTTCTCTTGAAATGAAGAACTGTGTATGTCATGTAGTTTGAACCTGAAACCTAGCAAGTTTAAATGGATAATGGAGAATGTGATTTGTGCAGGAAATTGTTTCTTGACTCTATTTTAATGGAACTTTCTCCTGATCATCCTTACAAATGCCAGAATGAGTTTTAAAAATAGGCTTTAATCTTTTTATTCTACATTTGTTTTAAAGAACCGTTCATAATCATTCTACCATGTCTGGTAGTTGCATTTAATAAATTAACAGGGAACAAAAACATACCCTGAAATTCAAATGAAGAGTGGGTATGTTTCAAAATGTTTTCATGTGTGCGTAGAATTGTTATTGTGTATATTTAGAAAGTCCATACTTATTCTTTCTTGGTTATTTTTTGTGGCAGATTTGTGATTTTTCCTTCTAATGCTTGTCTTACAGTGATTATAAAAGCTAATTCATAAGAAATAGAGCAATAGATTGTGTCTAAAAACCCAGTGGCTGTAAGGTTGGGGATCCAAAATTAGAGTAATTGTTATCCCCATTGTTAATTATGGTTTTCTGAATTGTGATGCCATTTATTCTTGCTGGGGATTACCAGTGTTTTGGAGGAACTTTTCACCTCACATTTTCAAGGGAAAGACAGGCTGTGTGCTCCTTCAAAATATTGGTAACCACCTACATGGCATCACATTATGAAAGACAATGGTATTTTTACTGCCATAAGAATCTCAAATATCATTTTTGTCCAAATTATTCCTGCCAGTACATCATGTGGGCATGTCATCACCCACACTCTTCCTTTATAGTGGGCTAGATTCTAGTAAATCTTTTTGTCTGTTCTTAGAAATAATGTGGCTTTACCAACAGTTCTTACTGGTATTAGTGAATCCTTGTTGTTTATAGAGGATAGTAATTTTGCCACCTACTATGGAGCCTCTTGGTTATATTAGGCAGTGAATTATTTTCAAAGATGTTTTACATACCTGTAAGAATGAGGGGCTACTTAGTATGTGGTAACTGATGTTAGTTTATTCCCTCTAAAAAGAAAAAGGAAGTTCAAAGCACGCATTATGAATAAGATTATAACACTTGATCAGCTGTTGCTATTGTTCACAGTAGTCTCTTGACATTGGGAAGCCCACGTGGGTGCGATGCTAACAGAGTTTTATTAATACATTATACTAATACTGTGTACTGTGTTGCCTATGTTCACAGATGAGGCAGGTCATGGGAAAGGGGATCCATGTAAGTATGTCTCTTGTTAAGTTGTTGCTCTGAACCTTTACATAAATGAAATTGTTTCCCATTATACATGGTTAGGGTGAAGACCATTCGCCATGTCACTTAAATTCTTAGTATTCTGATGCTATCATATTAAATTACACTGTTATATAAAATGTTAGGGAAGAACACAGATTGGGTGGTCAGGAGAATATTTGGTCCTAAGAGGGAAGAAATAACAGGTAACAGGGAGCTACAAAATGGCATAGTTTGTACTCTTTCACTGAATATTATTAGGGTAATTTAATCAAGGAATATGTTATGGGTAGGGCTGTAGCACATATGTGAGCAATTATAAATGTATACGGAATTTTGGTAAAAGAAATCTGAAGGCGAGAGACCTAGGCATGGGTGGAAATATGAGAACAGCTCTTTGTAGTGGTGTATTTTGTTATTTACAGCACTTCAAAATCACAGGAGTACACCAACAACAATGGTGAATTTCATGAGTGGTAGCAAGCAGGTGAACAAGGTGAAGCCAACAGTGAATCGCTCAACACCTGACAACATGGCTGTCTCCCCTAACCAACAGTCAGGAGGTGGAGGGTACAACAGGTAGGCAACAAATAAAAAACTATTTATTGTTTCTCCTTTCTCTGCATCTGTGCATTGGTGTATGTATGAGTGTGTGGTGTTCATTGTCATGACTTCTGCCTAGATTATTGCAGATCATTCAGTAATCTACAGCATAATACAAGTTATAACATTGACTACTTTATAAATTTGTAATTTTTAAATATGAAGATTTTTAACTCGTTCAACTCCTTTAACAAATTCAGGTTGCAGAGATTTACATGGCCTTAAAATATTTTAATGAGCTTTGATCGGTGTATGTGATCATACATATAGGTGCTTGTATTTCATTTAGTCATTTATAGATGGCTCCTAACTACATATTTATGAACAGCAGAGACACATGACTTTGAAATCTACTGACTCATGGATGCTGTGAAACCATTTGATTGTATAAACTGTATGATGAAAGGGAAGCAGGTAACATTTCTTTGTATGCAGAGGGAATTTAAATTGAGCATGATTTGGTTAATGTGTTTAACTATATTTTGGGTATTAAGTTTTGGGATTACCTGAATAGAATAGAATAGAAAACATTGGTTTAATGGGATAGAATTGAAGACTTGTTAGTACAAAATATAAAACTCATAGACATACAGTTAAAAATCGCTTTAGTAGTGTTTTCCAAACGTTTTGTATGTGGAAGCTTTTCTGGTGTCAAGAAATAATGAAATCCAAAACTAGAAACTGCAGGTATACAAAAGGATAAAAAGAAAACTGGTTGAGTGATTCATAGAACATAAAAGAGAAATAACAACATAAAATAATGTAACATATCAGTTACTTGTTCTCTTACCTTACTGTGCCTTTTCCAAGTGTCCAGAATAAGGCTTACTGTAAGCCAAAATTTTTGTACCTTATATTATGACAAAGTGTTATGAAAATAAAATTTTACATAGGCTTGTTGTGCTGAAGGCATTGTAATGTTTAAAAATGGTTCTCTTGAAAAAAACTGTCTAGAAATAAATAATTAAAAATTATCTGAATTACCAAGTGGGAAGATAATATTAAAATGGATCTCAGAGACATAGGGTGGGAGGGTGTAGATTGGCCCTTGTGACCTTGTGTAACGATTTTTTTGGAACAAGAAAATGGCAGACTGTTCTTCCAAGATGTTGGTATTTACCTACAAGTTTACATGGAATAATACAACACAGAAAACCTATATCGATATTTTTACTACTTCAAGAATTACAGATTTCATTACTGTATTCACAAGAACTTGTCACTATTCCCTATACTGAGCCACATTAATTCACTCTCACCCTTTCTTCCTGTTTCCTTACAACCAATTCTTTTTTTATCATAAATTAATTCAGAGAAAACTAAATTCACTAATACAATTTTAATGTTTTTCTATAAATTAAGGTTTTGTATTGGGACTGTGAAGTACACTTTACATGATATGGAAATAATCCCAGTCCACCCATCTTTATGCAGGTTTTGACTTTATATTTTAGGTAGCTGCACTTTTCATTACACATTATGTTCTTACTTTTCCTTTTAATTATATTATGGAAGTATAGATATAATCATATTGCATATTGCTTGGTATAGCTTTTACAAGGAGTTCTTAACCAAATACTTATAAATCCAGTGGAGTCTGAGAACTCTGAAATAAGTTTGTTAATAAGTTGCTGGTTGATATGTCTGATGTACTAGTCTTTTTCCATCTTGGCATACATCTTCTATATAATAAGCAGTAATATCTTAATTTAAATAATATATAAACAAGAATATTTCATTTAAAGCTAATTATGTCACATAGATGGACTGCACTAATGCTTCCTCCACTTGTGTTTTTTATTCATTCAGTGCATGCAAGTACACAGCGATAAAGACATTGCTGTTGAAAACATGTCATGGCTTCTTGAGGTCATTTTATTAACTTGTAATGTTGCATAACCAAAGGTCAGTCTCTATGTGTCTGACTAAAGACTAGACAACTGGGGTTTGATCCCTGGCAGGGACAAAGGATTTTTCTCTAGTCTCTACATCCAAACTGGCTCTGGGGCCCACTCAGCCTCTGATCCAGTGGGTTTGGGTGGGTCCTTTCCGTGGGGTAAAATGTGGCTGTGGTGTGATGCTGGCCACTCACCCCCATCTAGTGCCAAGGTCAAGAATGAGTAGGAGCTATACGTACTCTCCCCCAAAGTGCCTCCATGGTGTGTAGTGGGACAGATTTACTGTATAATGTGGAATAAATCTGCCACATAGTTCAGTAAAGTGGCATGCACATACTGAATTTTGTAGCAACAAATGCATTTAAATGTACATTTGCAACAAGAGTACAATGCAGTGCAAAAATTTATTTTTACTAAATAAAGGAAATCATGTCAAACAATGCTATATACAGTAAAATTTATAAATATGAAGGCAGTATTTTATTAAAAACTTATTTGTAGTTTGTTTTTTAATGCTGGGGATAAAAATTATATCCTTTCTTGTATGATTTTGGCTCAACAATTGAGTAGATATGAGTGAAAGTTGTTGTTGTAGAACAATTAAGTCCAAAATTTTGAATGTGAAAAAACTGTGACTCTTCACTCTTCTTTCTCCTCGTAGTTTACATACCTTCTTCAGGGCAGCAGAATCCACTTAATTTATTCTCCTACATCAAAACTAGATACCAGTGGACAAATTGGTGTAGTATTAAGGCTTTAAACTCATATTTAATAGGCATCGATTTAGATCTCTCTGACTGAGATTTATTGTGGTTTTCCTCAGTTTCTCTAGGCCATGCTAACTTCAAGTAGGATGTAATTGCTTCCTTCTAAGTCTTTGTATGTTCACTCTTCTTCTCTGTTTCACACTGATTAACTTTTGCAGTTGAAACAGTATCAGAAATAATGCCTTTGACTCATAGGACAAACAGAGGCATTGAACTTCAAAAGAGGCATGTAATTGGAGGCAAGTTCCAGATACAGAGAACGTACATATTTTGTGCATTGACTTAATAATGTTTTGTCATTACAAACCACCTTATGCCTTTTATATTCCTTAAAAATTTGAACACAAATACAGCAAAATATATGTTGCACCCTTAAACACATGCTCTTGTTCATTTGTGTTGTTGCATGTAATAGAAATGCAAGGAAAGGAAATGGAGAAAATGTTTTATTCTAAATGTGCACCTCTTAGGTGACAAACACATTTTTTAAAAGAGAACATTATCTCCATAGCTTCCTGGTGACCATACTGAAATACAAGTCGCTGAAAAATGTATCTTCTTTAATCTGGTATAAATATAAATGTAAATTGCTGTTAAGACAAATGGAGTTATGAGAAATTAGTATTTTACTGATATTTAATAATTGGCATTATGTGAGACCTGGTTCCCAAGGCAGTGAATATAAACATGACTCTGTTTTGGGATGTTGCATTGTATAGTCTGGTAAGAAGTTTTCCAACATTTCAGAGGTGCTTACTGCCTCCATGAGTCATCCTGATGATGGAAACAGTAAGGACCTCAGAAACTGTAGTACACTTCTACCAGACTCGACCAGACACAGTGCAACATCCCTGAAGACAGCCATCTTCAGTTGGCATTACGGTTTCATTTTATCAGTGCCATTGCAAGTAATAAGAATAATATCTTCTGCTCCTCCATTCAGTAACTAAATATAATTTGTAGGGTTTTTAACTGCAATTTTATACACACTTACATTACAATAGTGTGTATTCTGAGTTGTGTATCTGTGATTGTAATGATGATGTTCCTGATAATAAATAATTTTGTTGGTTTTTTTTCAGAATGGAATATTGTTAAGAAATTAAAAATTGTCCAAGATAAATGTTTTTGTATGATTTTCGTATTGAGAGTAAGATATAAATTAAACAGCACTGCAGGGCCATTATAAATTGACTATGAATGATGATTTAGAACATAAATCTTGATATAAATGTACTCCAGTAACCAACATTATCCATCTGACTATTACATGCAATATTGTGATGTCACATATCATTCAACATGATTTTATGACATTGATACATGGAGTGAAATAGTCCATGAAACTTTTTAATTTATGTTATTTAATATAAAGTTTAGTGGCAGTAAAGAATGTCCAAGTTAAGTAAAGAACAGGAAATTTCTTGATCACATTACCAGTAGTTTCTCAAGGGATTTGCTCCATTGAGTCACTTCATTAGTTATTAAAAAGAAGGAAATTCATAACTTATAATACTGTGTCATTTAGTCATGCTCGTTTTGTTTTCAGTAGGTTTGCTTCAGAATATCTTCATATTCTTCCACTACTTTGCTTGTAGAAATGTTGTGGCACTTGCAGGATTACATATGTATCAATGTTTCGTGAAACTTACGGACTTCATGCACCTTTCCTTTCTGTCTTTCAGGAGTGCCTGCCAGTTGCTTCAGCTATGATGATAAGAGGCACTAAAATTTTATAGACTGTTGAATAGTGAGACTATCTTGGGAATAATACTGTTGATAAAAATTAGTAAACAGGGGACATGGTATAGTGTTAAGGCACCGATCTTCCATGTAGAGTGGATTTTTTTCCACACGCCTTCCCCTTTTATTAGGAGCCAGGGTATCTTTGTCAGTATAGTGTCTGACTGCAGACTGGATGGCTGAAGTCTGATCCCTCTTAGGGACAGAGGATTTTTTTAAGCATCTGCATCCAGATTGGCTGTGGAGCCCACCCAATCTCCTGTTCAATGGGTACTAGGCATTTCTTCCCCAAGGCAAAGCATGGCCAGGGCATGACAGTGGCAGCTCACCCACATGCAGTGCCAAGATCAATAATGAAAAAGAACTATAACTCTTCCACCCTGCCAAGCACGGCCATGGAGTGTAATGTGTCAACTTTACAGCTTTACTTTTTCCATTTCCTTACAGAGTCAGAACTCTTTTAATATGAGTAATGCTAAATTCCCACTGCAGTTTAAATCCCAGGTTTAGATATAGGTTCCATCTACAAACAATTTTCATCATTACCGTTTTTCTATATTTGGGAGAAAAATGTTTTATTTATTTTTAATTTATTGAACAGTACTTTAAGTGGCTCAGATAATGTAATGTTCAATGATAGGATGATTAGTGAATAATGAATTGGGAAGGATGTTTAAGAAAGCTATTGTGGCCTGAGTACTGTATGGAATTTGCATGGTGGGAATGGGGAATACCACAAAAAACTTCAGTTAATATAGGCAGTCTTCTGGCTGAGATTTTAACCCAGGACCTCCCAAATATGAAGCAGAAGTCCTACGCATTAAGCTGCAACATTCAATTGCTCATATCTAAAAATATGGTTGCTTGCCTACCTTCACCTTAGAATGGTTAACAGAAGCGAAGATGGGTAATACCAAATCCAGAGACATGGGATGTAAAAAAAATTAGTGGACTAGGAGTCAGATGGGCCATGTTGGGGTTTTATAAATACATGTTTCAAAGTGTGATGATTGAATGGAATAATATATCCAAGTGTAGAAAAGCCTCCAAAGGTTTTAAATGAGTCTTACTTCATAATGTAATATAAAGTTACTCATTTTTGTGCCAAGTTAGCTCTGAAAGGAAAGGAACGGATTTGTTCAGTCATGTTGGAACTGTGTGCTGTTACAATCAAAAGGCTGAACTAACCAGGAGTCATGTTGCTGACCTGATACACAATCTGTGTCATTGTATTAGATTTCAAGTTCTCACAGCAAAGATGTTGATGTTGTTCTTCTGGATTGTAATACTGTGTCAAATCATAGGTAGTTAGCAAGTCTTGGAGAAACATACTGTTTCAGTCTTTAATAACTGGGAATAGTATTTTTTACCAAAATGTTTGTAACTACCTACAAGTCAATATGGTGTTACAACTCAAAACAACTGAACAGTTTGTATCATTATTTGTCATACCAACAGCTGAAATTTATTGTTTTATGGATTGAATGTAATAACTACATATATCTTTGCAGAATGAAAAGTTTATGATAAAGGAAATTGGAAAATTATAGAGACAAACAAAGTAGCAATAGTGAATGTTTAATGTGATTACAGGCCTCAAGAGGATTCAACATATGCTGGTTATCACCTTGCCTATGAAGTCAAAAAACTCATGTATGCTTTCCATACAAGCTCTCTCTATTCAATAGAAAACTTCTTTTAGTAATCTGTTAGCTGAAAATGCTCTCTCTGTCTTTGTGCGGCATTATCTCTGTTTGTTACCTGTCTGTCTCTGTGGCTGTAGATCTTTCTGTTTGCTGGCTTGCTTGCCCGGTGGCAGTCTGCTGGCTGCCACAGTAGTTTTACTAGAATGTGCATGTAAATATATATATATATATATGTGTGGTAGATTCTCTTTGTTATTTACTTTTGTCTGTGTGGCTTTGTGATATGAGAAAAGCTGATTCCAGCCTTCAGAATTTTAAAAACCTAAGTTATCTTGGCTTACTGACACCTTTTATAGGAAATATAATCTAATACACGGTGTTGTCATGTTCAAATGTAGCATTAAAATGTGTTTGCCAAGTTAAGATGAGCAGAATTATAAACTTAGCTGGGCCTTGTTATTTCATTGGGGTTTGTTTGGTAGTACTTAAACAGCTGCTGACTCTGTCTTGATCTCTCTCAAAGATGTGAATACGTACAAAGATTACTAAATACTTCTGTAAGAATGTTTTGGATAGTGATGAAAAGTACACTTCGCCTGTTCTTTTATTTTGTCTATGTGTTGTTAAGGTATTTTAAGTTTGCCTTGAAGACAACATTTTTTATGAAAATATGATACCTTAATATTATTTATTATGTTTTAAAAATGATAATAAATAATTATTATGTCAGAAGGACTTCAGTATTTTCACACGTATTCCTCATCTAATGGACTGCATCTGTCATAAGTTACTGTTTACATCAAGGCTATGATTTCTTTAGTTCTGTAGCTTGCAACTGCATATGAAATTTTGTTGGTCCTCTCTCAATAGGATCTTATCGTCATTGCATGTTCTCCTGATGTGTGTGAAGGTGGCTGAAGTTTTGAAGATACCCTGAAGTACAATTGTCAATACAATATTAAACACAAGTATCTGGCTTGAACTTTGCACAGTAACTGTTGTATCTAATATCTTATGAAATCATTAAAATAAATGTGACAAGTCACATTCATCTGTATCACATTATGACTTGCAATGGTGTACCCATTTATTTGCATATTAAGAAAAAGCATGTGACCTCAGGGAACTAGAGACAATAGAGTCTGATCAGTAATAATCAAGAAATAATTGTATTTATTAGGTCTACTTTTAAAGAACTAAAGTCTATTGAACTTTATAATTTTAGCCATCTAAATTGCATTCTTTAAGAATATTATTTCATTTTAATTATGTTTTATTTTTGTTTTTAAAGTACAAATAATATAGCCCCATACATGTGTATAATTTGTGACACACCCTGAGAATCACTTAAATTTATTTCCATCATGGCTGATACACTAATGTGGCTATTTTACATGATCCAGAAATTTTTTGCAAGAAAGTATGGGGATGGGTGATACAGATTTGAATGAGGAATTAAGAATAATTTAACTGTGGATTGCAGTCTGTGAGGTCAGAGTTTTCAGTTTAAAGTATATATTTACTGAAAATTAAATATTCAGACACTTGTTACTTTGATCAGCTACATTTGCAGTTGCTGATAAACAAAATGTTAACAGTTTTGATTACTTTATAGACTGAGTCTTTCCTTCATGGAATTAGAATATTTTGTACAGTGGAATTGTAATTATGATTGGAGATACATTCTATTATGTGATAAGCATGATAAGAATTTATAGTAACCTTTATTCCATTTTACAGTATTTACCTCAATGATTTGGTTATAAATCAAAGTTATTTTCCAGCTTTCTATGTAATAAATTCAGAGTATTACATTTACTTTACAAGTTCTTTTCTATACAATTTTTAGTTTATAACACATGCAGTTTGATTGAATTTACAAGATATGTTCTTGTTCATACAAACGTGAATAATATGATCAAAATAATAGTAGACTAGACATGTGATCCTAATGGAGTTTGAGACCTTTAATGGATGATAAATCCAAGAAGTCACCACATGCTGGTTAGTTTCTGCTTTTTGATATGGATGGAATGTTTTAATCTGTCCATCCACACATATGTCATTCTTAAAGTTACAATACAATATAACTGCATGTTTTTTATATTCATTTATAATATTATTCAAAGACTGAAAGTTGATTGTAAACTTTTTAAGTTTCCGGTATTTATTTATTTGAACAACATTTACTGCATAATCATGGATTCATTCTGAATATGATCATATACAGATATTAAAAATGTCAGCTTTCAGCAGCTGAATTTTGCAGCTAAAAGGAAAGTCTCTGTTGATCTCATCTATGAAGTTCTCATCTATATTACTGCTTATTCGAAAGAAGAAAAGTTGCTCATCTTCATACTTCCTTCCTGAAAAAGGAAGATTTCTGGTGTGATTCAAGCCAGATTTCTCTGTAGTAGATATAGGGATGTTTGTCTTCTGATATAAGTCTGAAAAAATCCATATTACCTTCAGAGTAAGTCATATATCACTAATTGTATCTTTAACAGTTTGAGTGATATTCGCTATACCTTCTCACCCCAAATAATTGTGTGCAAATTGATTTCAGTGTGTATTATTCAGGGCTCGATTATTTATTCATTAAGGAATTAAAAATTTGCTGTTGTAGTAAATTGTAGACTATGTATAAGCCTTCTTTTGAGTTTGATTGCACTGATCTAGTTACAATAGTGCATTATTTCAGCTTTCAGAGGTAAGCTGTGTCTGTTGTTACTGTAGTCTTTTAACAAGTGATATGATATTTCTTAAATTATCAAAACTTTCCTTTTAATATGTTGTAGTAGATCAAGTCTCCTTCATTATGTACTTTCCTTATGAGTTGTTCATTAACCACACTAAAAGCAAGTATATACATTGTCTGAACACAAATATGCTGGTTTCTAATGTGCACATACTGAAGGGAATGCAAAGCGATGAAAGCTGGGGCGGAAGCAATTCTACTATACTTAACAACAGGAAATGCATGTCATTGAAGCTGACACATCATGACAGCAATCATAGTATTGTTATTTTTGTTTTGTTGCCTGACTCCACTGCACCTCATTCACTCTCACTTCTGAGCTACTGCCACCTGTTGCCAATTGCTCTTACTGCTGTTCTTTGCTCTTTCTGCTGATGCTGTTCTGTGCTTCTATACTGCATTTGTCATTTCTTCAGACCTTCCAGACACAAACATTTTCATTAACACTTGTGTTCCTACATGGGAGATATACAGATATTATATGGAATCTGAATAACACATTGAGATTTTAATAATTGTTTTCATCAGTTGTCATTTTTATTGAGAGTTGATCATTTTAGCAAAGAACACAATCTTATGCAAGTTCTGATAACCATGACATATGAATATTGATTTACAAAATTTATCACAATATTTTAGAGTTCTTATTTATTGTAACAAATATGGTTTATTTAGTTTTTGCAGGATGTTAAAGCATCAATCTATACAGTTTAGCAAAATTAGCAATATTTTAATTTAGGTTAACTGTAGGATTTATTGCAGGACTTTAACACCTATTAACTACAATGCAAATATAAAAGAATAGCACTTCATTAAAAACAACCATAATTGTGTTTTGCACTAAAATATTGTAGCAGCTGTTCATCTCAAATGGCATAACTGATGCAAAATAGAATTTCACGTGTGAGTCTCTTGTGTACTGGCCTATGATGTGAGACATCCATCCCTTTGATTCAACACTTTCCCACAGAAGTACAAGAAAACAAAAGAATAGTAACTTTTTATGTGATGATAGACTGACCCACTGCCCTTCAACCCCTAAAAATGTGCACGGTCAGGTGACTTCATGTTTTGAATCAATTATTCTAAAAACCGTTGAATGTGAAAGTGTTCATGTATGTCAGTTTATAATTTTTATTTTAACTTGTTTATTTTTTTAGTGCTGCGAATGATTTTTTCCAGCTCTATATAATACTAATAATAAAATAACTTGTTTTAGACTAATGGTTTACATGTATAAAATAAGAACTATGCGTTCATCCAGTAATATATTGTACACTGTCAGCACATAAATGAATGCATAACTTCTAGGTAATGTTTTTACATTTAAAAATTTAAATTTTGGTTTGCCTGTCATTACAAAACTTCAATCTTGAACGGAACAGCATTTGAGAAACACCAATCTATAGAATTATTGAGATTATTTTTATTGCGATTACACTGTTTATTTGTAAAAAGCTGGTGATTTGTTTATAATACAGCAGAATTTTAAATGTTTGCTTCCAGTTGCTGAATATTTTTTAGCTAGTAAATTGACAATTAAAAGTAATATTCTAGGCCATCAGAACTTGTTCTATTTGTGGCAATATCAATACTGTGCTTTATTAGGAATGACAACAAACAAAAGTTGTAAATTCATTATGAAACTGGTGTCTTTCTTTTTAACCTAAGAATGAATGAAGAGCCATCTTAAAAACATAATTTTTTAAGGCTTTTGAAAAGAACTTTCAGCAGATGATGGATAAAGTCCGAAACAAAGAAATTGCTAATATATTTTTCATTTTGTGTACTTATGGAAAATGTGGTTGTGAAATAACCAAACAGTGATTATAAAATGGCACTGTCATGAAACCACTAAATAAAGGGAACATTTTTTAAGTTATCTGTTACATATCATAAAGCCATATGAAGTTATTTTGTAAAATGTGCAGATTGTTTGCAGTTGCTGATGTACATTTTAATATATATATCAAAGTCAAGTCAGCCCATGTATTACTGAAAAAGTTGTCCAAGTTATTTAATCCTTTTGTGCAATTTAAGTGCACTTTATGTATATACTAGCTGGGTTTTTAATTTAAGTGACGTATAAAGGTTAACAGTTTACTGTCTGAATTTGTCTGTTGAAATTTACTGGAACTGTTTTGTAAGGTGCTGGAAAGTGTTAAACCACAGGCTTCATAAATTGAAGTGACTTGCCGCATATTAGGTAATTTTTCAGGCAGTGAAATTATATATAAGATTTGAGGTTTTCACAGCAGTGAGTATGAAGATTTCTGTCTTCTGGGTTGTTGCGCCGTGTAGTCTGGTCGACGTTAACCAACGTTTCAGAGGTCATACTGCCTCCATCATCAGGGCGATTAGTATGAAGATTTCCGTCTTCTGGGTTGTTGCGCTGTGTAGTCTGGTCGATGTTAACCAACGTTTCAGGGGTCATACTGCCTCCATCATCAGGCGATGAAGATTTCTGTCTTCTGGGTTGTTGCGCTGTGTAGTCTGGTCGATGTTAACCAACGTTTCAGATGTCATACTGCCTCCGTCATCAGGGTGATTCATCGCCCTGATGACAGAGGCAGTATGACCTCTGAAACGTTGGTTAGCATCGACCAGACTACACGGCGCAACAACTCAGAAGACAGAAATCTTCAATGAAATTATAGACCCTGTCTTCAGTAATAGTTGTAGCTCGTACTGAAGCATTTTACAAGTTTACTGGCTTCTACCACCTCTGGAAACTTTTCTAATAAAACATGTGGACATATTGTTTTACGTAGTGAACAATATTTTGTTCTGGCATTGATATTTTCACGGAGATCACTTTTCATTGTGTCATTTTTAGGTGTACTATGTCAGTTACTTTTATGATGAGGATGGAGACAGCAGGTTCCTACAAAACTTTGGTTGTTTTCGATTCTGAATGTTTTTAATTTTGTTTGGTATGGTGCTTTCCCCATAAAATGACACAATGAACTTATCTCTTCAAATTTCTCAGTCATAGTCTTACAAATTTCTAGTTACGTGTAGAGTGTCAGCTGTGAATATTGCCATTTGTAGTGACAGCACATTTGAATGACTGTTATGCTTCAGAAATTTACATTTTAATTTCAGTTATGAAAGATATGTATTTTATCAACCAGTTTAAATATTATACTAATCTTAATGTTTTAGGTGCATGTAAGGACAACTGAAACAATCCTCCGGTACTCATATAAGAAATAATTAATAATGTACTATTAGTTTGATATAGGTATTGGGGTAATATAGGGTAGTAGTAAGTGTTTGTTAAAATAAGTTTATTACAAATAATACTGGCCTTCCTGTAGGCTGTTTGGCAGCTTCCATTTGGCAGATTTAGATGTTGGTCCCTTGAAGGTAGTGTGCTTGTGTAGTTTTGTCAAGGTTTCAATAGGATGCAAATTCTGTGAAAAACAGAATCTGCACCAGTGTTTCTTTTGGAGGCTTAACACTCTAAACATTATCCCTCTCCCTACTTAAGGTTGTATTATATTTGGTGTTCCTTTTCCTGTATGTGTTTTATCTAAATATTTGTTGGTGTAATTTGTGAATGTATTTGTTAAGACTCAGTGCATTCAAAGTCATTAACAAAATCATTTCTTTTACTTTCTCAGCTATTTGACTGATACTTATCTGACCCATATAAAATATTTCTATTTGATTGTCTATGTTTCTGAGTTAAATAAATTTGTTTGTATTTGGTGTACAATAAATTACATGTGTACACACACTGCCAAATGACACTCATTGCAGACTTAATCAACATAGAAAATGTATACTCTTTTTTTTATGGTGGGAAAATACATTATACAGGAACTCACTGTAATAAATATTTTATTATGAGAGCTTCAGTAATGTGTGAAGTAGTAGTACATGTCTTTTATAATTATTGAGGAAGAACACACAGTGATAGTGAACTTGGAATTCCTGTTTGATAACAAGCAATGTCTTAGTATAGGACATCACACTTTCCTAGAATGACAAAATTTCTTTTGATGTCATTTTAACTTTATGCTAATAATTACATAGTTTTTCCTTGCTCTGATTTCCAAATTATGAGGATGCTTACATCTCATATGTGCTTAATCCTTTCATTGATGAAGTGTGGGGAAAAGTATTCCTTGAGAAGATAAAGTAAATATTCTGCCATAAAGCAAGCAGTGTTGGAATTATGGTTGAATTTAAATAATTTTGTTAACTTGCTATCAGCTTTATTACATTCAGTAACTTTTAACTTGTATTAAATGAATTGTAGTGATTGATGAGACACGGATGAGGTCAGATAAGTATATCTCAAATAAAAGTGCCTGTTGGTACAACAAATAGAATGTTTTCTTATTAACAGCACAAATCACGTGCATGCTGTGTGAAGGATTTGATGATATAACATTTATCATAAAAAATTTCTTATAATGTTCTTAAATATAAATGTTACAGCACAATTTAAGTGTGAGTGTAAAATCTGCAGAACTTGTTTGTAGGTGGTATCCATCAACACTATTACCTTAGTATTTGTAACAGAACTTACCCATTGATAACAAGTGGACAAAAGATGGTTCATTTCATTATTAATATTTTAAGACTGTGATTGAAAGATGTCAGATAAAATTCAGAATTGTTCACTAAGCAAAAGACTACATGAGTAAAGGATTGTGAATTTTCCACCCAAATTTTCATCCACATAAATGCGTATAATAAATGAACATTCTGTGTGTAATATTCATACTCGCTCAGCAGTGTCTAACATAGCTTGATGTATCTCTCAATCAATCAGTCAGTCAGTCAAAAAACTTTCACAGAAGCTGCAGCAGTAATCCTATTCACTTTATATGCAGTGCAGTGATTTGCCATCAAGCCTTTGCAGACAGTAGTGTTCATTGTGTTGTTCTCAAGTATAGTTGTCAGGTGCAATGTACATTCATTTACTATAAGGCAGTGTCTAATGGGCAGTGAATTGATCTGTTGCAGGCCAACATCTCGAGGGTCGGGTGGAAATAACATGAACAACAATGGAGGTTTGCAAGTGGGCATAGCAGATGATCAGGCCAAGGACTTTGACTTTGAGAAGACAGAGATGAAGTATGACTCAACAGGAATGTTTCACTGGGGTCCCGCAAAGAACCTTGAAGAATGCATACTGGTAAGCTGGAAGCTGGTGACGTCACAATATTTTATAAGAAACGTTGTCTCTTTTATTCAATACCTGATAGTGATCTGTCATTGAATGTTGCAGTGTAGTGGTAAGTATTGTTGCTTATTATTTGGAAGGTCCTAGATTCAAGTATTGGCTTGAAGGCAAGATCAGGAATTTCATTTTGGTTTCTTTGCTTTCCTTTATCTTACTAAGTCTGTCCAGGTAAACACTGAAAGCCTCAAAATAGGTCTGGTCACTACAAAGTCTCTTAGTTCAGACTTTGTGCTGCTGGGTATTTTGCTCAGTGTGCAAAAGTGGAAGTGATGAATTTGAATCTCACAGTTTTGCAGGTTAGTCTAAAACAGGGTTCCACATTTTGCTACCATTTTGTATGTCAGTCCATATTCTAATTGTAAGTATGACACTGTGAATTTAGATTCGGTGTCTATGTTAATTTATGTTTGAATGCAGGATCGAAATCAGGCGGCTATGACAGTACTGAATGGTCACGTAGTGGTGTGCCTCTTTGCGGATCCAGATTCTCCACTCATAGGTCTTCGGAATCTAGTGATGCCCCTACGAGCTTCTAACTTTCATTATCATGAACTGAAACACGTGGTGATAGTGGGTTCAGTGGACTACATTCGTCGTGAGTGGAAGATGCTGCAGAACCTTCCTAAGATTTCAGTCCTCAATGTGAGTAGTGAGGGATTCAGTAGGAACCTGTTCATGGGGTGGCCAGTTGTATAACTTATTGCCACTGTTGTGAACAAGGGTTGAACAAATCCTACATGCTGCATAAACATGGAATTGTTTTAGAGACCGTCTCTATCTCCATCTTCAGAGGTTTTTAGAAATGATGGAGACTAATTCCTTGCTGACATGATGATTCACCCAAGGAGGCTTGATTTCATTCAGTCACAGTGAAAGATTCTAATAACATTTCAGTGAACTTTGGTTTTTCAGTTTAGTTTTTGTCTTTTGAATATTTCAGGGCAATATCTCATGCAAGCATGTTATTTTAGGTAGTGTCAAAAGTGTTTGGTTTACAGTTCCTTTGAGGAAAATGATTTTAATAGCTTTGTCAACATTCTTTATCTGATGAACTTACCTAGGGAAATTTAAGATGACATATTGAAAGGACGATGTATACATGAAAATAGGTTATGAGAATTATGTTGTGGATCATGTAGTGATTCAGCTACTACAAGAATTGTGGAGATCTTAGCTTCCATGGGTTATTCTTACATTGGTACTGGGTGTTTAGAATGAAATCATTTATATTAGAATTTCATTAAATAATTCTGTAAAGAAACAAAGGGATTTACTTGAGCTTCTTATACATACCATCTAAAGTTTAGAGAGTGTCAGTTACATGTGGCATTTATCGCTTCTATGTTTGTTGTGCTGGAAGCATTATTTTCATAATTTGTAATAATACTGTTATTTCCCAGGGTTCACCACTGAGTCGGGCAGATCTGCGGGCTGTGAATGTAAATCTCTGCGATATGTGTGTCATACTTTCAGCAAAGGTCCCAAGTAATGATGATCCAACGCTAGCAGATAAGGAAGCCATCCTTGCATCACTCAATATCAAGGCAATGACCTTTGATGACACCATTGGGGTTCTCAGTAAAAGTTAGTGTCATAATTCCAATTCTTAAAAATACTTAGTCATATTACAGCTTGAGCATTAGACCAGGTTTACAAATTTCATTTGGATAAATACAACACACTACATATTCTGCTGTTACTGCAAAGAATTGACTTAATATTAACTTTTATTATATGGTTGTATGAACTAAGGGGCTTCTAGCTGATCTTTAACTGCAGTGTTTAATGGTCTAGTGGTATGCTGCTACAGTGCACAGGAAGGCATAGCCAACTAAATTCCATATAAGGAGTGATAGTTGATAAATGTTAAAGAGAGATAACTATTTCTAAGCCTTTTTAGTGAAGGCTTAATGAGGAGACCACGTTTCTTCAGTTATATGCTTCATTAAGGAGTTGTGATTAAATCTGGTATGGAGAATCTAAACGAAAAGTAATGGTGTAACTTTCATTTTGGTCTGCATTGGTTTTGTAAGGGTATGAAAGGAATTTAGAAATGAAAGAAAATATTCCTGATTGAATTTAATTGGGATTTTGAGCTGATTCCTAAGTATGTAGTATATTATTTTACCTACTGAATAGTTGTGTCAATGACAGATTTTTATATGCAACAAATTAACTTGAAAAAATTACAAGGAATGTGTTAGGAAGATCAGTCTCCTATTCAAAACAAAAGTTCACACACTTGTATTAAATGTGTTTCTAACAATTCTGCCTCTTAAACTATTACTAATAAGGAGTGAACCCCAACAGAGGTATAACTAAAGTGCAAGTTGAGAGATGTGTTATATATGGGACTAGAATTCCACAGATATTGATAATTCCTTCATTACATGCATTTGCTGTTACATCTAACTTTTATGTTTACTTACCCTGTAATTTCATGTAGTATATTTATTAATCTGAAAATCTTTTTTTGGGTACTTGTATAGAGATTTGTCATGCCCTCAGCTGTTGCAGGAGAGCAGGACAATCTATCACCAGTTGGGAGTCCTATAGTACTGCAGCGTAGAGGTTCAGTGTATGGAGCCAATGTGCCTATGATCACAGGTATGTGAAATTATAGTTCATTTGAAGATGACTGTCTTCTGGGATGTTGTACTGTGTAGAACAATAACCCTGATGAATAAGGCAGTATGTACATCTGAAATGCTGGTCAATTTCCGCCAGATTATATTCCACAACACCCCAGAAGACATTCACCTTCATACTATTTGCTGTGAGAACCTCAAATCTTGTATAGTTTGTCTCGTACAAGTAGAATTTGATTATAAAATTTGTGCAAGTAAGAGACTGGCTAATGGAGGTGTAATACAAGTTCCTCACCTCATATTTCTTTATATTAGCCATCTAAAAGCAGATGCTAAGAATTTATGTTCCCCTGACTGTAAGTGAGGCTTTTGTTTATTAAGACTTGAAGCTGTGGTTACAACAGACATAGACACCATATACTGAAAACAGAGTTTATTATCACATATGCTTACCATATTTGTTGTGTGAAATACTGTTTTAATATTTATATTGTAAGGAATACCTCTTTTTCTGACCATCTCTTGGCTGTAACTTATAACTACAATGAACTGGAACTGATAAAAACAGAGGTCTGCAATTTCTGTGTGAGTTGTCAGATGCTAGTATAGATGGTCCATTGGAATGACAGAACAATAAACAAATATATTTTCTTATTGTATATTCTGAATTCATCACTAATAATACGAGAGCCTGCCCTCAGACATTTTATTATTATACATATATCTTTTCTGTTCATGCTGCAAAGCCACAGTATTCATTAAGTAAAGAATAAAATAAAATAAAATGAAGGGTCCCTTAATGAGAAGAAGGTTTCCCCATTATATAAATAGTCTATCCAGTTGACCATACAGTAACCAAACTTTAATGGTTGGCATATAGATCCTAATTGCAGGAAATGGATCTTAGGGATGCAGGTAGGTTTTGAGGATGAAACGGTATCAACAACTTGGCTCTGAATATACCCAGCGGCAGGCTTTAGTATTAGCAGAGTTGAATGTTAAAATTCTCTTACCAGTGTGTTGGTTACTTTGATAAACAATACAGGAAACTGTGATACAGGTGTTCTGTTTATTCAGAGTTGGTGAATGACAGCAATGTTCAGTTCTTGGATCAGGATGATGATGACGACCCAGATACAGAGCTGTACCTGACCCAGCCTTTTGCTTGTGGTACAGCATTTGCTGTCAGTGTGCTGGACTCACTCATGTCCACAGTAAGTCAATGGCGTACAGTATTTGGGGGATTTTTTTTTTTAAAGTTTTAAATGTGTATATCATACACCAAATTTTGTTACAGTGTTTGAGCAATCCATTAATTCTACATTGTGGTGCAATATGATTTTAAACAGCCCTCACTGTGGAGTGAAACTTTACACAAACCATTTGTTGAAGACTACGTGGTCACACTATTGGTTGTATGTATCAATGTAGATAAAACAATGAAAAATAGAAGCAAACTTTGTCAAAACATAATGTTATGGTTTCAGGCATCAGAACATGGTTATGTGTATTGTAATATTATGGTTTCTGGCATCAGAGTGTTAACATTGAATATTTTGACATATTAGAAATATGATGCCAGCCAAACTAATTATGCCTAATTAATGAAAGGTATTTCTTTATTTGTGGCAATGTGTGGGGCATATAGAAATGCTAAAAGTGGTACTGCATTATATTAGTGAAGTAATATGATTGTCTTGAATGCAGGATATTGATGTGCATACGTTTCTCTTATGTTTTAGACATATTTTAATCAGAATGCACTGACACTGATACGTTCATTAATCACTGGTGGAGCAACACCTGAGCTAGAACTAATTTTGGCAGAAGGGGCTGGACTCCGTGGGGGTTACAGGTATGTTCTGTTATGTTATAGTATCATATAATGTTCTAGTTTGATATTGATAGATATTCTAGGTTATGAAATGCTTCTAAATGTGGAGTTATATTTATTTTCAAATATTTATCAAAATATATGCTTGAAATTTACCACATTATTGTCAGTATCTTTAAAAATAAACCCCAATCGCTGGAATAATATGCTTAGAAATTTTGTTGATGGCCATTTTTTGAAAAGAAGTTTGTGACATCGGTGATATATGTCTAATTCTTCTTTATTATGGCCTATTACAGCTTCAGAATGTCGATTGTTTTCTTGGTCTGTGTGTGACACAAAATGTTTTCCTTGAATTGTACATATTCTGTCTTTGGTAATGTTTGATTTGCTGAATTTTTAGTGGAATAGTTTTAAGTATAATTTCGCCCAGATTTAAAGTATAAACGTGATTGAGCTTTGTGATGTGATAGTGATATTTTAATTCTGAGAATTTTGTTAATAAGTTAAAATTTAAATTTTATTAAAATCTGAAAATGTGATGAAAAGTGTAACAGCTTTCACATTTTTAAGATTAAGTCTTATAAATTGGAAGTGTTCTGAAATATATTTGTCTGATTTCAGAACATCGTTTAGAGTATTTTGTAGTCGGTGTATTTTTAACACTTTTGTGTAATGTTGACAGCACTGCAGATAGCTTGTCAAATCGTGACCGTTGTCGAGTGGGACAGATCTCACTATATGATGGACCACTGGCACAGTTTGGTGAGGCAGGAAAATATGGAGACCTGTTTGTTGCAGCCCTTAAGTCTTATGGCATGTTATGCATTGGTCTTTATAGGTAATTACCTCCTCTAGCCTAGTATTGTTT